AAAACAGAAGCACAAGTAGAAGCAAAAAGCAAAAGCAGAAGCAAAAAGCAACTGCAGAAGGAAAAGCAAAAAAACAAAGCAACCGCAAAAGGAAAAGCAAAAAGCAGAAGCAAAAGCAAATGCAAAAAGCAAAAAGCAGAAGCAAAAGCAGAAGCAAAAAGCAAAAGCAGAAGCAAAAGCAAATGCAAAAGCAGATGCAGAAGCAAAAGCAAAAAAGCAAAAAGCAACAGCAAAGGGCAAGAGCAAAAGCAGAAGCAAAAAGCAAAAGCAAACAATGCCAAATGCAAAAGTAGTAGGGGAAAAAATATGAAAAAAATCCCAGAAAAAAATTGAAAAAAATTCCCAGAAAAAAGGGGGTTCCGACAACAATTGCAGCAGATGTCCACTTGCATTTGCCAGATACATTCAGTTGCTATACTAGTGTGAGCAAAGGAGAATCTTCCACAAACCGACTCGCTCTGTTTCGGGCCCCGCTCTTCGGCCCCCGCTCTTCCCGGCACCCCCCCAGCTGACCGGCCTCTCGTGGGCCTCTTTGAGCCGGTCCTCCGAGGAGTCAATCCGCCTGGAGGCTGAGCTGGATAGCTGGACCAAGACATGGATGCGCCAGGTGAAGGAGACCATCCACTGCGATCCATGGGCTGTTTTTGTTGGGGGGGGAGCACATGGGTCCAGAGAACATTCGACCAAATCTACGCAGGGTGAAAGGGGGGAAGTCCAAGATGCCCGATGAGTTCCAAAAAGAAGGAGTCTTCCTTGACCAAACCTGACCCATGCATACCCACGCCACTCACCACCTGCAACGGACGCCCGGTTCACCGCCATTTGTGTGGAAGACGACATCGAAGGGTCTACAGACACTCTGACTGACGAACATGGAAGTGGATCGCATGGTCCCTTGGAAGACTACTTTCCTTTGCAAACAGGAGGTTTTCCACTTCCATGTGGTGCGTTCGTCAGAGTGTACTCTTTAGATCTCTTTAGTGTTGATGCCCTGTGCGAGCGTAGCTGGCCTTTGACTGTTGCTCGTGTCATTGGCGACGGCCTGCCGTTGGCTGTGAAAGTTCAACATTCTTCACGTGACATGGCCAACCTGAACGCCCAATGTTTGACTTCATCACCAAAAGTACGGAAATTGACCAAGCTTCAAATTAGTCTGCCACTCTGCCCAGAAACAGCACATAAAACGTGTATGTAAATGTCAAGAGATGTCAAGAGTTCTTCCCTCAAGCTGACCACGGCATGGCACGTGGGAAGCCAATGCGGCACTGGGAAAAATCGGATTTCAGAAAAGGCCTCTCTGAGCTCATCAATCTTCTCAATGAGGCCACCTTCGCCCTTCACAAAGATCCTCGGACGATCAGCCGCTTTCACAGGCCGATTCGGCATGCTGACATGGCTGACATGGCTGACATGACCCTGGCCCAGAACCTGGGACCCACCAAACCGTCTCACCACCGATCCTGAATTCTGGATGTTTACTTTTGATGCATACCAAGAAAGTATAGTGGAGACCCACTATGGACCAAAGGATCAAAGAACGGCCAAAGCTACTTTTAATTGGATTGTATTGGCTCTGAAATATTCTACCACATGTCAATCAGGTATTTGCGGATGAGACAAACATCCACCAATCCACATCCGCTCGGAAGGATTTCGGCGATTCCGCTGAGCTCCCCGGCTCCAGTGTGCTCATCCGGCTCACCACAGCGACGATGGCCGCCTGGGAAGGCGGCCGTGGGATGCAAACGGACAAAAAACTGCACTACCTGAGACTTCAGAACCCCACTACGAATACAGTGTGAAAGATAGAACAAAAGAAAATAGAGATGAGTTCCATAGACTGATGTTGGGATTTGAGCCGCGAGTTTGGTTCAGGCGGGTACTGTATACTGTGACACCACATCCTTGGTGTTCTGTGTGTTGTGACACTGTTTTCCCCCACTGCAGGACACAGGTTTGGTGCCTGAGACTGTCTTTTCGATTCAAGCTTCAAGCTTCAAGAAGAGTTCTCCAAACCCTCGTTAGTAAAACCCAGCTTCATCTCTACAACACGACCTGCCTCTTGCGCGGCTCCTCCCCACTGACATCACCTGCTCCGCTTGAAGCTCCACGAGCTTCCTCTGGGAGGCCCCACATCCACGAAGCCCTGGCACAGGCGCATGGTCCAAAGAGGGGGTGCGTTCAGAGGTGCCCGTGGAGGGAGAGGCGATGATTCTTGGAATTTCATTGAACTTCCCACCTCAAAGCAAGTCGCAATCTGATTCAAAAACCACCCGCCGATCAACTCCGCAAAGGAACATATAGGATATGTAGGCTATGTTCACCTCTGCGACAAATTCTGCGAGACGATTCCGAGGAGGCATGGGGAGTTCGTGTCCCTCAAACCCCAAATTCAGATTCGTTTTCGTGGCTGCTGAAGCGATTTTTTCACGGCGCGAATCGTTGCATGATGTTTTTCCTTGTCTTGCCACGACAAACCAAACTGACCCAAATTCAGCGCTCACTCGTTGGACCAAGCCTTGAGGTTTCCAAAGTCTTCCATCAAGCGCTCTTCCAGGTTCACCGTCTCCGCACCCCATTGCTTCTGCACCTCCTGAGGTGAAACGAGAGAGTGAGAAACCAGACAAGATTCAGATGCATCCAACATTCTAGAATTCGGACAAATTGGACGACACACTAAGGAATCTCGAGTGACCAACACGAGGAGCACCTTTACTATGCGTTTCCTATGAAGAATGAGTCAGGCTGAGTGCGAGGTATGATAAAACGTCCAATCTACGTTGGGGAAGGTATCGAAGCCAACAAGCACCAGGATCATTGGATTTGCCAGGCAAACAACAGTGATAAACTATGCAAAACCATGCAAAACCCATATCCCATGACTCAAGACACAGCAACCAAACGAACACTTCATTGATCCAATCTATTGCGTAAACGGGTGAACGGTGGTTGGTGTAAGCGTGGTGTGGTGTAAACCGTGGTTGCAAACCTTGGTTTGGTGTAAACGATGGTTGGGTGTAAATCGCCTGCTGTGAATCGCTCCCTCAATTGACATGCCCTGATACATTGCGGAAAATGACCAATTTGCCTTCAGCTGCTGCACTTATATTATATACATGGCACAGGTGTCCTACACAGCTTCCTGCCCAGAAACCTGCCGTGTCTAGGTTTCTCATGTGGAGGACTGTCAACATCCTGATCGGTAAGGCTTCGAATTGTTTGCTCCTGTACACATCACCACCAAACGACCATCAAGTGCACATAGGTGGAGACCAACGTCCAGCTGGGCGGCTCTGCCCCGTTCATCAATCATGTGAATCGGCTCCTCGAAGCGTTCTTCCAGCCATTGAAGATCCAGCGCCGGTTCGTAGATGCCCTGCAGTAAGTGGCAAGTGGCAGGCATTGCTCCACCAAGTGGGCCATACTGAAGCTGAATCGAGTGGGAGATATGGGTGGTTGTGGGTTGCAAAACCATCGTGGAAGAAGACAAACACATCAACGTGGAACCGTCTATCAAAGTGATTCGGAGCAAACGAAGCATGGTTTGGTGCGGTGAGACTTGGAGCCCCAATGCACAGCTCCTTTGAGTGTTCACCATGGCCTGAATTGGGCCGGAATGTTCAAGTGTCACTATCTTATCGATCCACACAATATACAAGGCTTGGTCTGCTCTACACAACCGACCTACTGTACATCCTGCAAACAAACAGGTCTCCCAGAACCTCTGGAGACATTCCAAACTGCACTTCCGGTGCGAAATGGGTGCGGCATCTTGCAAATTATTGCAAAACTATGTTGTCGCCATTGCAGAGATCGCTTCCAAAGGTGGCCAAACCAGTGTCGCCATCTCTCAGCCTCCTTTGTTCCCCTCCCACTCGTGTCATGTTTTCCACGAATGGCCATGACTGCTTCTTTCGTCGCAGGCCTGGCCTCGAAGTCAAGGTCCTGACAGTACCCAGCATCAAGGCTTTCCACTTTGAAGAAATATATCGGAGGTATATTGATGGTCAAAGTGACTGATATGGTTGATGAACGTTGTTGCGTGTTGTTTGATGGTATATGCACTGGCTTTGATGATGTTTAGAATTGGTGGTAAGTTTCTATAGGTGCTTGCATCCTTAGGTGTCAATCTTTGATTGGCTGTACTCGCCGGCAGAGGTCCTGATCAATCGGATCAGCCTGATCTTCACACTCATCCTGGCAGTGTGACTGGATTCTGAACCACCCAGAGATGTAAATCAGAGTGGGTGTTCTTCGGAGTTTTTTTTCAACCAAAGACCCTTCAGCAATCCCACATGCTTCCCCACCCCATCCATCCATCACTGCAAGCAACAAGGCCATACAACGCCCGGCGCCTTGTGCAACCTCAGGCATTTAATTGACAACCAGGAGATAGCAACAATGACATGATCATCAAGTCATCAGTTTTGCTCCTTTCAACACATTACATGAAAGAGCTTGCTTTGTTGTTCTGAACTTTTCTCCGCACATGGCTTGCCCACACGGCCAAAGGTCTCGCCTCTGGACATGTCTAGCTAAAGCTCTTGCTGCAGGGAAATGTTCAAACAACTGATTGATTAATGTGCCTGATACAGCCACTTGGGATTCCAAGAGCTCTCATTCTGAGGGCTCTGTCACCACACCTCCATCCAGTCAAATCATGAGCAGCAAAAACACACCAATGGTTATAGCCATAGTTGCCTATTTCGTGCTGTTCTTGTTGGTTGGGAGGCGACGGCAGCTCACTGCACTCTGTACAAGTTCAGCTTGAAGTTGCACAAGCGGCCATCGCCAAAGGTGAATCGAAACTAAATTAAGAAGACAATCAACAACAAGGATCCATGCATTCGAATATGTGAGAGCAAGCCGTGGCCAAACCCAAGCATCAAAATTGCAATGGCTATACAAATTGTGCGCCCTGCAAGCCTTGTAATCAAGAGTCTCGCCCCTGATTAGCACGGCTGGGGCTTGTTCTGAGACTTTGTAGTGTAAGCTCACGATCACTGGTAGGATGGATATCCCACGTCCGAGTCGGTCCTCAATCCAAAGCCCGTCTCTGTCCTCAGCTCGCGATCGAAGCACCTTGAGAAAAGAATAATTGAAACATTATTGAAAAACTACGAGCAATGTCACTGCAGAATCACAGAAAACTGTCCCAAAAACTTTGAAGGTCAGCTAAGTCTCACGATCATAGGGCCTTCGGCGTCATCGTCGTCCCTCAAATCGACCTCTGAAGCCTGCTGAGCGCCCACATCCTCCTGCTGTGGACCGACCTTCTTCAGCTTCGGGCGGTCCTTCCGAGGGAAATTCCGCAGCGCGCCATCGATGAGCTCGGCGTCCTGCTCCAGCGCCAGGATGTGTGCGTCACGGCGTAGCTCGAAGCCTCGCACTTGCGGGTGGAGGAGATCGACTCTACATAGCCCCTTTAGTGTTTTTTTTCCGTTAAGATTCGTCTGTGAATGTCATAATTTCAGTGTCTTTCTCAGAGACGGTACTTGTTGTTTCACTGTATATAATGAGAAGACAGAAGACAATGTTCACCCAAAATGTATTTTGAAAACCGTCAACGATTCTTCAGGTGGACATGCGTTCCGCCACAGTTTCCTACCTACATGTTAGTTCACGACGTGTTTTGTGTAAAATGAAGCCTGTGACGGATTTTGTGTACACGTACGTATATTATTGTATATAATATATTATTGTTATATATAGTTAGTTGCCGACCAGTTTGGTCTCAAGTGTGCTTGAGGCACATCAAGTTCATGTAAGTGGAACTTGTGGAACTTGAAAGTGATGAATTTCTTGTTGTCGTGTGGATGTTCCTGTAAATTGTGCGAAGTGGTGAGTGGATGTCAAGCTTACGTCAAAACTATTTAGGACGTCCGTGCATTGACATTTTAGGACGTCCGTGCACCCGATTTGACTCTCCCTCCAATGGAAACAACCACGGCCTTCAGGTCTTTATTATGATTCATTTTGGCAGAAATCAATGTGCCAAGCCACCGTCAGCAGCAAGCTGATGCAGTTCCAGAAGCTGCTCTTCAGCACATGGCACAAACAGGATCTTCACAGGATTTCCCTCTGGGTCGACACCTTACAGTAGTTGCAAACTCATCAGAATCAGTCTGGAAATGGTACGTAACTGAAAGGCACTGGAAGCCTGGCCTAATTATCGGGATGTGTCCCAAAGAAACGAGTGACCTACAAGTGCAAGCAACTGAATAAAATTAAATAATCGCAAAATCTCAACGACTGAGATTCTGCAGCCAGCTTCCTGGATTCGATGGTGCAGCGCTTTGAGAGGTCCATGTGGATCAAAGAGAAGGTCGGTGATGTGCTTTGCGTTGGAAAAGCCCTTCAATCTATAAAGTCGCACGCCATGCATGTTCAGTGGTGGAACATCATTTCGGCTCGCGCGCATGGCCTGCATGAGGTCATCCGTGGCTTTGTCATCCACAGCCTCTTCAGCTTCCAGTGCGTCTTGCTGATCTTGCTGGCTTGGCGAGGTTGTCCGAGGCTCTTGCAAATCCTCTGCATCGACCTCCTCACCGACTGAATGCCCTTGCGGCAAAGCTTGCAAAGGGGCCTCCCTCACAACTTTCGATGTTGGCAACAATATTGACTTGCACCAAGCACTTGCCTCTTCCCGCAGGTCCAGCCTCTCAATGATCTTCGGCGCGTTCATCGAAAAAGCCACCACCTCATCCACCAAACAAGCTGGGAAAGGTCTCCCCTTTAAAAGCTTCTTCGTCAACTGGTAGATGGCAATTCCTTTGGCCGCAATCTCCGATTTCCACACCTTTGACAGCGCCGAGTGGGCTGCTGCCATCGCGGCAGGCCGGCGAGCTGGCTCCGCATCCAACGCACCATCCTTCAGCAAGAGATCGCTTCCATAGCCCGACACCTCCGCGCCCGCGCGAGCAAGCAAGGCCGCGCAGTCGGACTGCCCCAAGAGAATAGCGCAATCCAACAGTGACAGACTCGGACAAAACAAATTCAAATAATCAAGGTCGCTGCACGACACATTCAAAGCAGCCAAGGGGACTTGAACTCTCTGAGCGATTTCCAGCAGGTCTTTGCGCAAATAAACCTTGCCGCTGCCGATGTACTTGAGGAAGAATTCACCCAAACCGTTCTTTTCTGGTGGCACCCATGGAGTGTCAGGTGGCGGCAGCAGGTCTGCAAAGTCGGTCCAAGGAGTTCCCGTCAGAGCCACGGCCACTCGGAAAGGAACTTGATGAACCGGCCCCAAAAGTCCTTGGAGCTCCACACCGGCCGAAAGGGCCGCGAGGAGCATGCCACGATCTCCAAGCTCCAATCTGTATACGTAGGAATACAACCATATATTATCACGGGCTGCAGTCACCCCGCCAAAAGCCCAACGATACAAGTGAAAAATCCCCTTCCAGCTCCAGCGCCGCAAAGGCCGGAGACGAGATTGCTCCGCGCAGCGCACGGCGGCCTCCCTGTCGCCAATCAGGATGGCAATGTCCAGCAAGTTTGCCATGGCCTCTTCGGAGATGGCAAGACTTTGCGGCACAGAGTCAGAGCGAAGCGCCTCCAGGACGTTGCGCACCAAGGGCTGCTCGGCTGTTTGGCGAGCAGCGTTTGCGGCATTTGGGAGGCTCGCGTCCCAATCCTTCATCCAAACGCCCTGTTCGACCGGGAAACCGAAGCAGCACTGTTCACAGGTCTTCCAGCTGTCGTGGCACATCCAGCAGCTCCACTCGTCGAAACCCCGGTTGTGGAATGTTCTCTTCAGGTGATGAGCCTCCAATCTGCAACCTTCAACTCCTCTCTCAGCCATGGCCCATGCTGTGTCAAAGTGGCCAAACCTCAGGCATAAATCGAAGAGGCCCACGTCACCCCACTGAGAGGGCAGCGTTTGGCCCAGCAAATCCTGGTTGCCATCCCTCAACGCTCCACCCAAGTGGAACTCCCTCACTCCAAGAACCTTGTACTCGGAAGTCTGGGCACAGTAGGCATAGTCCACCAAGTCTTTGACGTCCATCCCTGGGACTCTCAAATCTACACGCGCCGAGATCGACAAAATACCTTGAGGTGATAGGCTTGAAGAGCGCAGCCTTCTTGTCAGCAAGAATGAATCCAACCAACTCCAACGTAACAATCACCAATGGTATACCAAAACTTTCCGATGGAGGAACACTGGGATAGGGATGAGCCAAATAGAGAATGTCCAACATCACAAGAGTCACAAGAGTGCAAATTCGTGCAAATTCAACCTCAAAGAATCCTTGAGTTCGCTGTGTTTCGCTCTTCCAAAACAAGTTTGTTCTTCCATCAACTTCCACCCGAAGAGGTCGATGCACACTGACCAAGGTTCCGCACACCAAGCTCCCACCCGAGGGGTCCATCCTGGCACCGGACCAAAAGCATGCTTCAGCCGCTCAGCCGCTCAGCGACCGCTATGGGTTGACACGTGGATTGGCCAAGTGCATTTTAGTGATCTGTTAAGGAGGTCAAAAACATTCAACAACAGACTGTGCAGGAAACAAAACATATATCACAGCAACCCCCAAGGGCACACCTCAGCACACTTCACCTACAAGAAACCGGAACCAACCATTGGCACAAACCAACGGGTGAGCACCGCTTTGGCTCCGTGAGTCTAGACCCGTCCTGACTCCAAAGCACACACCACTTTGGGTAGTCCTGCTTTCAAAACCAACAGGGTTGCACACTTGTGGCAATGTTGAGCTGAGGGTATGGGCCAAAGTGGCAAAATGAGGATGCATCGCACCTTTTAAACAAATGCACAAGACACTGTAACAAGAACATAAACTCCAAAATCTCTTGTTTAGTTGTGCTTCATCAAGAAAAAGAACACCAGGAGGCCTATCCATTCGCGTCTTCAACACTGCCATCCAGCCTCTCGGGGGTATCCAAGGAATCCTGGCCACCACGACATCAGGGATGATCGGATGGTAAGTTCTTTGTCTAAGGCCGAAAAGCTCCAGGTACTAAGAGATGACTTCCATCTGTAGTCAACGTAGATATGCTTCGTGCAGAACGTAAATTTAGTTCCGTAACAAAACCCCCACTGTGGACCAATGGAAGTTAAATTACATTGTACATTGTAGACGCTTCATTCCCAGGGCTCAATCGTCCTCTTCTTTGCAAGGCATCCTACACCTCGATACAAAACTGTAGGACTGTAGGTCGATCGGATCACCGTGACTATGGACCACATTTGACGACCTTCGCGAACAATCCAGTGGCCTGTACAGCACCAAGTCCGCGTTCTGAGCAAAAAAAACTGGTTTTAACATGTTTGCTTGCCAAAAAATCACACCTTCATCTTCCAAAACTGCCCACCACATCCCACTGCCGTTCCATCCACCCAACCACTGCACCACTTGCGCCACCGAGAAAAAAAGGCCACCGACATCCCAAAGACCGGCCTGGAGCTCCTTGACGTCTTGTGTCAAGTTCTCCACAGAAAGCTTCAGAGCATCGACCTGCGGTCTTGCTATGGTCAGGTCATTTTGTCCAAGCAAAAGCCGAAGGAAACCAGCAAACCTCAACCCCGCTTCCTGGACGGAATGTGTCAGAAGCGTTTCACCTGTAGAATCCCCCCTTCAAAAAAGAAAAAAAAACGGATCTGAACCCCACTGATCCCATGGCTTGAACAGTCCTTGACTGGGGAAAGCGTAGGGAGGTCCATGGCACAACATGTTGTTCCTGAGAAGCAGTTGGAAGACAGTCATCTGATGAGTCGTGTCACCCTGTGGCCGTGACTACCAACAAAATCTGCTATGGCTATGGATGAATGTTTATCCTTAAACAAATGCTCCTAAATGCTCTATAATCAAATCATATCAAATCCAAAACAACGGTAATCTCAGAATTGCCACATCCATCAAGATGTAAAACTTCTCAAGACGTAAACTGAATTATATCGTGGTGCTCCCGCGCTTGAGACAAACACAATAATTCGGTCAACAATCTTTCTCCCAGACCCATGGCATCACTTCGCCCAAACAGACCGTTGCATCTCGATGTTCTGTTCCCTGCCTCGGCCCCCAGCTGTTTCCTCCAGGAGCCTGGCGCTTTCACAACACAAACAAACAACGAACCTGGACGCTACATGGATGTATGATCTGCTGTCTATCATGGGTCAAACTGTGAAACTATGCAAATAAAGGAAAAAAACATTGGAACTATTCAGCCTTGAGTCTTGAGGATGTGAAAACCCCTTGTCTGCAATGGCACTGGTTCTTGTGTCCATGTTACTGAACTGAGGAGAGCATCTGTTTGGCCGCCCTGTTCTTGGCCTTACCTGGGCATGATCCTCCAACTAGCTCAGACTTGCACAAACGTCGCGAACTCAATGCACTGCCAATGGACAATCGATTAAACTGTTGGAATTTAAACAAAAAGAACTTGGACAAACTCAAACTGTCACCTGGTTGAACATGTTGAGGAGAGCTTCAATAAGAACAACCACAGAAAGACACGGTGGTAGCAAGTGCTTTCCCTGAACGTGCAGTTGGTAGTAAGCTACCCAAGCCACCCCCGCACCGGTTCCCACCCAACTGACCCCACCTTCAGCGGCCGCGATGAGCCCGGCGATCCGGGCATCCTGGGGTGACTCCGGGTGATCGGTGAGGATAGATCCACTCGGAGGAGCACATCGCATGGAAGTGTGAACGGGCCAATTTGTCTTCCCTCAATCAATTCAATCATACATCTCCATTATCATACGTGTCCATATGTTCCTTGCCGCACTTCCTTGCAAGTCAGTTGGAGTGTATCTATTGGTGTGACAAGGTGACGAAAGTAAGAACGCACAAAGAAGATGGTCACAACTACGACGGAGGGGAAATAAACAACACTCGCCTTCATTTCTGCACTGCTGCTTGCCTAGGTCCTAGGTCTGCTTCTATGTATATTCCAGGTGGCACAGGATCTTGTTTGCCAACAGTTTTGCGAGTGTTTGCCATCTTCATCCATGATGGAATCGCAAGAGCAAACTTCACGTCCATTCGCAAGACCATTGACCACCTTTCACCTCCGCTTACGTTGAATTGTTAAACAACCTCCTGCTGCAACTGGCCGCTGGCCCTTCCCCCTTTGGCTCGCCTGCGTCCGGTCGATTGCCGTGACATCCTGCATTGAAAGAGTCACGATCTCCAGACTAGGCCCCTATCTATAATCCCCTGGCCCCTAGTTATATGGATTTGTAGATCACACAACCTGCCTCCAAGTTTTCGGATACCCCTTCAGAGTACCATCGAATTTGCAAGTCAGTGGATCCACATACAACCAGCTTGAGACACGGCAATGCATGGCATGATCTTCCCGCAAACACCCCACCTGCTGTGTCCATGTTGATTTGCATGAGACATTAAAGATCATGAAAGCCCGGCTGTAAGGCTTCTTGGATGTTCATTGGAGGCACCAGAGACCAAGTACGTGGAAGGAGGAATGACCTCCTCTCCAGGTTCTGAAACACAAAAGCCAGTGCTTTTGACAATGAGAAGTTCCTTAATCAGCTCAACAGGGATGACCGTAGACGCCTGTGACGTTTCAGCGGCCCCGAGCCTGGCATTTCAGTGGCCTTGGAGGCAAGCGACTCTTCTGGTCGGTCCGTGCTATTATTGAGGTCAACGAGGCCCAAGGAGGCAGTTGCAAACCACGAACATCTTTGAAAGAGATCCACTTACGGGTCACCACGTCCCTTTTCAACAATGGATGTCTCCTGCAGATTCTAGATCACATTCCAGCAGCAGCAATGAGAATGTCCCAAAACAAGCAACAACCGAACCTCTTTGGAAAGGCCCCCTTCGTTTCGCTGAGCATGTTAAGCGTTCACATCTCAGGAGCCCTGCGGGGAAGCACGCTGTAAACCCTCGGAGAGCTCTTCCAACAGCTCCTGTCAGCAGGGCCCCGACCAGCAATCTAGCCTCCCGTTTAATAGGAGGTCGGTCTTCCAACTGTGGATGTTGCATCATGCTACATTGACTAGTTCTATGAGCGTGTGGCATCTGCCAAAACTAAACGTACTGTTCAGTAGAGGACATGATTCAGCAAGGTTATCGCTTTTGAGGGGGGCCTATTGTTTGGCAGGTGTTTGCCCTAATGTCAACACAGCTGAAGATAACAAACAACCGTGGGGGTACGCTTTTGAGGGGGGAGGGGAGGGCTATCGCTTTTGCAGGCTTTAGCAAAATTCCTTAAATTAATTAACGACCGCTCTTTATTGAATTAGTCATCGCACGTGCTGGCAGTTGCTCATGTGTAGTTCAGACCGATACAGGCTCTTTTTGACATGTGTTGGTGCCGTGCAAAAGGGAAGGGAAATGAACATATGGCCAACCAACGCTTCTTGCTGTAGCCCAATTGATTCTATTCGTGCTGTAGCCATACCAGGGGCATCTCTGGAATGGGTCTGTATTGCAATAGGCCCAATCTGGACAACCAAACCCTGCGGTTGGGAGCTCCCAGCCTAATCCCCACGCACAAGAATCTTCCAAGTTTCAATCCAACCAGCTCTGTAGAGTTTACCCACCCTAAAAACCAGGAAACCAATAAATCTATACATATATAGTAATATCTGGTATATAATTGCTAAAATGCATCACTGATTCGCTCTTTGCAAACGAGGAGGGTGGAAACCAAAAATGTCCGCTTTGGAAAGAAGCCCGTTGATCACTGAGCATCTACGTGTTATTTCACAAGAAAACAACTCAGTGTAGTGAATAGTGCTAAGGCTTGAGGCTTAGAGTCAAATGTGGAGCCCCACCGATCCGCACCTAAAAGAATGAAAACAAACTCATGCAATCTGTCCTAAAAAATCTCTGTGAGCAACTGTAGACATTAGACATTAGACATTCTCTCCCTCACGCAAACATAACAAAGTCCCCCCAAATAAGGAAGGCTGATCAGCTCATACATGATGACAGAAGAATTCCTGTGACCTTCCAACCAGCAAGTTGAATCGCCATTGGTGACTCCGGGATCGAAGGCATCCTGCTGCTTCTGCAAGCG